ACAGTTCTGTTTCATATGAGTGTGTGAGAGGCCCTTTATCCATAAATCTCTTAAATGTTGGCCTCAAGTGCACAGATTTATACCATTCAACTTCAATTTAAAGAAAAAAAATTCCCCGGTTGCATGCCCTGGACCCCCCCCTAGAGGAAGTGAGGTCCATCACAAATAAAACAGGTTCACCAGGAATAGGATACTAGATAAGTGTGGCACCAGTGGGCGTCGCCTGGAACTGGAGCAGTCCGGGCCTTTAGGCCCAAATGTTTTTTCCCTGTAGCCCGCGGACAATTCCTAGCCCTCAAATAATAATACATACATTAACCGTGCTTTACATGACCTCATCTGAACAAAGAAGAGGAACGAGCAGGACTGTAATTTCCAGTGTTCAGTGAATGCAACAGAGGCATGACACCCAGACCCCAATCAGAGAGTTGCATGGAAATAAACGTGTGCTTGTGTCATTCAAGGCTCGGCTTATGTTTGTGTGTGGAAAATACGCGGCTTTAGTTTGATAGAGAGAGGAGAGAAGGAGACGGAGAGAGGGAGAGAGAGGACGCGGTGCCAGCCAAGGGCGTGTTGTTTAGCAATCTGGTTAGCCTAGCTGCAGCTAACGGACATAAGTGAGCTGTTTGTTAGCACCAAAACAAGCTGGAGGAGCCAGTCCTGCTCCTGTCAGACCTGAGATACTACCCAAAGGTGGAGCAAAGGACTCTGAGTGGTTTTATATACGTTAACTTAGTTAAAGTTATCTCAGTGGGTCTCAAACGGCTTGGTCACAAAATTATTCAAAAGATTATTTCGCGGCGGCAACACCCTTCAATATGATCAATATAGTACACTTTCCTGTCCGCTGTTACTGTCGATTATAATATATTTGGTATGTACGATCGCCATATATTTGTCCAGTCTTGTGCTATTGGGCGGTTACGTTGTATAAACTGTATGCCCTCCGTCAGACCGCGCATTACCGCCATGTACAAGTTATCCCCCTGTAAGCCGGGCCTCCTTATCAACGTGTTAAAAACACTTGCCAAGTTGTTCGTCAATGAGGCCCTCCTTGCGGGGCATTTTCTGGTGATTCGTTAGCCATGAAGCTGAACCCTGGTTCGAGCATTTATGTGTCACTGTTCCTAGCCGGAGGAAATCGTAATGTAACTAATTAGGATTAATATTGTTCATTCACTCAAATTTGATCTACATCTATTTATATTTCCTAGATAACCAGCAACATAACAAACGGACTAACTGTAACACGCATAACTCCCGGCTGTGAGCATTAAAGTTTGGAATATCTACACCCCCCTGATTTGGCTAGCAATTTTTCTGACAGTAAGATTTAGGCCAGACTTGTATCAGCACCAGCATTCTTTTATTCATAATTTCACACCCCCGTGCCTATATGCCGTGAGGCTGATTATCGAGCCTTCATTGTAAACGAGTCGGGCGGATGACTGTGTGTGTGCAGTAACAAAACTTCGCACTGTAGGCAACCACCGCCCTGTGGCTAAGCCCGAATGTTTCAGGTCCAAGCGCCGCCGCACCGAATGTTTCAGGTCCAAGGGCGACGCCTGCCTGGCTTTGAGACATCAATATATAAACACTAACACATTTTCTTGGATTTGTAAACATATAGCTAATATATTATGTAGAAAGGAGGAAAAAGGTGGACAATTTTCCATTACAGGAAACCCTGTTTTGTGTCCCCCACTTCTCAAACAAGTTACCAGCCTTGGGAGGAACAGTGGTGCTTGTAATACTTCAGTATATTCGTATGCAAAGAAGAGTAGCAATGCCCACTGGGTCACAGTCCCAGTCAAGCCCACTACACATTACAATATCCTACCCAGTGTAGTGTTCCCTCAGCAACAGACCATCCGAGCATGGTGATTACTTATTTATTTCCACACCTGGCATTGCATGGAACAACATACAATGGACAATGAGGGCTGCGTTTCTCAACAAGATCCCCACCCCCACCTGCATGCGGTATCTAAATCTCGCTTTTAAGAAAATAAGTGTCCAATAAATCCAAGCAACACAACAATTGATCGTATAGTGATAGTATAAACATGTGAAACATTAACATAAACAAACAAAGTGGGTACAAAACTCACATACCCTGCATTGCAATGGACAAACATAAAGATGGACACCGTGAGCTGCGGTTCTGTTGGAGAGGATAGCAACCAACGCTGCACGTAAGCCTACTTACTCAAAATTAGCTATTGACGATCAAGCCATTAATAAATCACTATAACACAAATAGGCCAAGCACACCCAAAAACATGTTGCTGTCGAGCATTAAACGACTAAACATTAAACTAAACAAAATCCCAACGTTATGTCCTAATAAAAATCAAGCATACATTTTGTCACGCTTACTCTCACAGATCCTCCACGCGTTATGAGAATCCTCGCCACAATCCATTGGGCGGTAACAAAGGCTAACACAATGCAGGACACGTTTGTAACGCACCAGAATGGCGTAATTCTCCGCAAATTTAACCCCGGATTTTACCACCAACCTTTATAAACTCTGTTAGCATACACCCCCTAAAAAATTCTGCTAAATTGGGGGCAAAACACAGAAAACAAACAACACACACAGGAATGCAAAATACTAAGCTGTGTAGAAATTTGAAGCCATCAGACCTCGTTGAAAAAAAAAAAAGTAAGTCCGTTTGAAATGTCCACATTGGAAAGCAAGTCCAGCCAAGAAGATTNAATTTGTGTGTTGGGATTTCTGATGTACTGATTTAGGATAAATGCCCAAAAATGTAAATTAAAGATTAGCTTTTGGATTACATTTCATATTGGGGCACTTCAGTAAAATGGTTTACAGTTGTAGGAGTTAGGGCTGCATCTGTTTCCTTTAGAGCAGGGGTGTCAAACTCAAGGCCCGGGGGCCAAATCCAGCCTGCGGCTTCATTTTCTGTGGCCCCACAAGAGCTCTGAAAGAATATAATATGTTTATAGAGTGGCGAAGTCCCTCCCCTTCCAGTGGACCTCCATGGGACCTTATTTCGGAAAAATTATGTATTGAAGTCAATGGAGAGAGAAAGATTATCTTTCGATCCCGTTTGAATTGTGCCACGAATTACACATATGTTTGTAAATGTGTGCAGAACAGCACACGTCACCAAGATGGCCGTCACTACTGTCTTGTCAACAAAACGATTGACTACCCTCACTATCACCACAATGTAACACGTCCAGAAGAATGTCATGCAAAGCTGCCTGCCTTCCTTTGATTCTCTCTGAACTGCCTGGTCTTTTTAATGTTTAATGTCAACCATTTGTGCAGATAGCATGAAGTAGAAAAGATCGGGGATCGCCGATCCTAGTGTTAGCATTTCTCCCCCGGGCTTAAATTGTGTATTGTAGAATGATCACACCGGTGACAGTACTCTTCAAAGGGTTCACGAAATATGACTACTACTCTAACTGTTTAACATTTTGGGTTACTTAATNAAAATGACAAGGCTGTAATGCGAACTAACGTGCTAGCTACTAGCTAGGTAGCTAACTTGATCCAGCCACTCCTGGTCCTTTCATCAGATGGGAAGTGAAAGAAAGAGGAAGACCCATTGCTGGTATGATAAAAACCTNCTGCCTGCCTTCCTTTGATTCTCTCTGAACTGCCTGGTCTTTTTAATGTTTAATGTCAACCATTTGTGCAGATAGCGTGAAGTAGAAAAGATTGCAGATGCTAATGTAGCGTTAGTATTTCTCCCCCGGGCTTAAATTGTGTATTATAGAATGATCACACCGGTGTGACAGTACTCTTCAAAGGGTTCACGAAATATGACTACCACTCTTACTGTTTAACATGTTGGGTTACTTAATCTTACTTCATATTAAGGCTAATAAAAATGACAAGGCTGTAATGCGAACTAACGTGCTAGCTACTAGCTAGGTAGCTAACTTGATCCAGCTACTCCTGGTCCTTTCATCAGACGGGAAGCGAAAGAACGAGCAAGACCCATTGCTGGTATGATAAAACCTGGTACTAAGCACACAGGCATCTTGTTAAAGTTATCTTATCTTAGCCAGCGCCATATAGATAGATTCTATTTATATGGCACTGATCTTAGCTATCTCTTAGTGGAGGAAAACAATGGTGACATCACTTACGCGACTCTGGGATTTGTAGTCTTTCTAGTTGCGTATTTTTCATAGTCTTATATTTCAACAGTTTTACGACAAACTGTGACTTTTTTGACATGGAAATTATTTTTTAAGATTGACAAACATCATATGTTTAATTCATGGCACAATTCAAACGGGATCGAAAGATACGTTTTCTCTCTCCATTGACTTCAATACATTATTTTTCCGAAATAAGGTCCCATGGACCGGAAGTAGAGGGGCGTGAATTCGCCACTCTATTGTACGATTACATGCCGAGGTCCATGGGACCTTATTTCGGAAAAATAATGTATTGAAGTCAATGGAGANTACTTATGTTGTGACAGATATTTAATTAAGCTTTCTTAACGCTAATGTTATAATAGTCAGATTGCTCTGCGATAATAATAATAATAATAATACATTACATTTATAAAGCGCTTTTGCTGGTGCTCAAAGCGCTTACAAGCAAGTAAAACAAATTAACAACAAAAGTAGAAAGTGCTAAGCTAGGAGGAATAAGGGCAAGGGGTTAGTTGATTAGGAGTTGAAGGCAAGAGTGAAAAGCTGAGTTTTGAGGGATTGTTTGAATGATGTGAGAGTGATGGCAGATCTCACGTGGCTGGGGAGGGAGTTCCAGAGTGTGGGGGAGGCTGCGCAGGCCCTGTCACCCCAGGTCCGGAGCTTTGTCCTGATGAGCTGCAGTAGGTTAGCTTCAGCAGACCTGAGGCGACGGGTGGGGGTGTGTCGTTGGATGAGGTCACAGAGGTAGGGGGGGGGCAAGTTTGTTGAGGGCTTTGAAAGTGAAAAGTAATATTTTAAAGTCAATGCGGTGTTTGATGGGGAGCCAGTGGAGGTCATGGAGGATAGGGGTGATGTGGTTGGAGGGTCGGGTGGAGGTGAGCAAGCGGGCAGCTGAGTTTTAATATGAATGCAGGTGATCCAAAATAGTGTGCTGTTGCAGTAATCCAGTCGGGATGTTATAAAGGCATGGATCAGAGTTTCAGCAGCGGTCGATGAGAGGAAGGGTCTGATGTTCTTTAAATGGAAGAAAGCGTTTTATGTGTAAATAGAAAGGATCAATACTACTGACACATACATTTTTGTGTTCTTCTTTTAAAGGACTCCAGCTCCTCTTCTTCAGACAGTTCCTCCTCTTCATCATCCTGCTCTGACAGTGAGGATGACAAAAAGAAAAAGAAGAAGAAAGACAAGAAGAAGAAGAAAAAGAAAGACAAGAAAGAGGTAATGCAACGTGATGCTACTCTTTACTGAGAAAATCAAGGTTTGGAAGATTCTGCAGGAAGTATACAGCCATATGTTAATGCCAATCAATTGTTTCCTGAATAAATAACAATGTAACAATGTCAAAAACATTGTATGCAAGAATTATCATTTTTTTAATAGGTTTTTTTTTAACGACACAGGATTCTAGCTCTTCATCTTCGGACAGCGATAAAGATAAGAAGAAGAAGAAGAAGAAGAAGAAGAAGGACAACAAAAAGGTAATATTCCTTTTTGTTTAAAAAAAGCCTTAGCTGGTCTCAGATCAGTGGTGAAACTGCTCATTATGTAAACATTGCCATACATTAACTCTCAGAATAAGCTGTGTCACATGTTTCTATTTTGTTTCTGCTACCAAGTATGAACATTATCTCCATTTCTTAGTGCTCAACTGGTGAGCAGCATGTTGTAGTTATGAACAAACCAGTTTCCCCAACAGTGCACACACCTACTGATAAAATGCATATATAGCTGTTGTACATGTCAGGGCATGAAACATACATAGCCCTTCCACGCTTTCGTAACACCTCGAGTTTTTCAAAGATACAGTATGTTCAAATGTTACTCCCCTGCAGAGACAACGAATGGGTGTGTAGGTATGTGTACGATCTGTGATCTATGTTTGTTGTGTGCACGAACAACACATCTCTGCGTAAAGTGATACACGGTGAAAAACATGCGTTTAACAATCAATACACTTGAGATTGATTGTATTTGTGATTGTCCACAGGACGAAGAGCAAAAGGAGTTCTGCTTTGTTATTTCAGCAATTGGTGAGTGTTTCCACTTTTGAGTAACTCAAAAAAGAGAGGATTACAAGTCGCACTCGTCATAGTGACTAGACCTGTTCATGGAGTTGATCCACTATTGCTTGAATTTCTGCAGACGGTGAGATTGCAGGACCGTGTGCTGATGGAGATAAGAAGAAAGCTGCGGACAAGGTGAAATACTCACAAATACTCACACACATATTTGCACAATTGAACTACAGTTCATAATCAGCGCCTTCTTTTGTCACGACAGGCCAAGAAAGAGCCGAAAGCAGCAGGAGAAGGCAAACTGCCCGTTTCATGTGCAGGTACGGGTGCTATTTAAGCCTTGGTTGGTTCATTTCAACTGTTTTGGTTTTAATGATGTTTTCTGTCTCTCAGAGGGAGCAAAAGCATTCCCTGCTTGTATTGAGGATGGCAACATGAGTGATGATGAGAGAGAAGGAGAGAAGTGCAAGGATAAAAAGAAGAAGTTGAAGAAGAAGAAAAAGGTAAATACACTATGCTGCTTAAAGGAGAATGCATTCAATTCTGGAGGCGTGTGGCGCAGTGGATTAGTGCGTTGGTGTTCAGGTTCAAACCCCACTGCAGTCAGCATGTCGTTGTGTCCCTGAGACACTTCACCCCAAATTGCTCCTGTGGGGATTGCCCACAGTATTGAGTATGCAAGTGGCTTTGGATTAAAGTGTCTAATAAGTGACATGTAATGAAAAGTAACTCTACTTCCTTTAAATAAAGAAATATACCTTTCCACTGGTGTTACAGGGCACTATCACCACCATGTATGATGCAACGTTATGGTAGTACATATTTATGTTACGGGATAAAAAGGGATTTAAAAAGAACAAAATATATTGTGTGTTTTGCTACAGGGTTCTGGTTCATCTTCAGACAGTGATGATGATGATGAGAAAGACAAGAAGAAGAAAAAGAAGAAGAAGAAGAAGAAGGAAAAGGTATACAAACAATCTGTAAACAATGTGTTCATATCTGTTTTTTCAAATCAAAGAAATGAAAAGGGCATATTATGTGTTGCCTATTTGTGATTTAATTTGTAATAATAATAATAATAATAATGTATTAGTATACAACAGATGCTAATCAAGGTATTTGTTCCTTGGATATTAATAGGAATGCTTGTTTTCGTTTTGATCTATAGGACTCCTCCGGCTCCTCTTCTTCATCTGATTGCTCCGACAGCGAAGATGACAAGAAGAAGAAGAAAAAGAAGAAGAAGAAGAAGAAGGATAAGGTTTGTGCCTTCACCTCTTCATTTCACCTCTTTTTGTATTTGTTTAATATTATTATATTATATCTTTATTCTTTGTCTTTACAGGATTGCTGCTCTTCCTCCTCCTCTTCATCCTCTGATAGCGAATGTGACAAAAAGAAGAAGAAGAAAAAGAAGAAGAAGAAGAAGACAAAGAAGAAGAAGGATGAGGTTTGTGATTAAAAACATTTTTGTAAATTAAGTTAGTTATTTGTACTAAGTCTTTATTCTTTGTCTTTACAGGATTGCTGCTCTTCCTCCTCCTCTTCATCCTCTGATAGCGAATGTGACAAAAAGAAGAAGAAGAAAAAGAAGAAGAAGAAGAAGACAAAGAAGAAGAAGGATGAGGTTTGTGATTAAAAACATTTTTGTAAATTAAGTTACTTATTTGTACTAAGTCGTTCTTGACTCTCTCCTGTCCAGGATTCCAGCTGTTCCTCCTCTTCTGATAGTGAAGATGAGAAGAAAAAGAAGAAGAAGAAGAAAAAGAAGAAGACCAAGAAGAAGAAAGATAAGGTGTGTGCCTTCATCTTAGTGAAGGGGCTGTCCGTTCTGTTTTATGGCAGAAACATTGGAACATTTCGTGGTGTCCTGTCCCCGATTGGATGGTCTAAAACGTTACAGGAAGTGGGTGGAAGGGTTGGGGGAGGTTTTCTCCATACCACTTGTTGTCCATGGCCCCAAACACACCCTGAAAAAGAGGGAAGCTCTGGTACCGATACATTCCTTGTTTGCTAATGCAAAATGAGCGATCTGGAAAAGTAGAAAGAACCAACTTGCTGGAGTGGGATGGACGGATGCAGTGCTCTGTCTGAGGGGGCTGGTGGCAGCGCGTCTGAGGGCGGAGCATATATGCTGATCAATCTGGGGGAGAATGACTCTATTATGGAAGCTTTAAAGCAGTGGTCACCAACCTTTTTAAGCCCAAGATCACCGACCTCGGCCTAGATGAAAGGCGAGATCTACCTATTGCAGAATTGAGTGAAAAAGACGGCCCACAATGCTTCCAATTTGAGGCCTTTTATATAGGCTAATTGCATCTGAATTACTGTTACAATGAAGGCTCCATAATCAGCTCAAGGCATATAGGCAGGGGTAAAGTGCTATTGGGGGGCGGACCTCACCTCCTCTAGGGGGTCCGCGGGGATGCTCCCCCGGGAAGA